AGCTCAAGGTACAGCTTTGGCCCCTTCTGGACCACAGCTTCTGTGTGCTGACCCTGAGGAAATACTTCCCACAAGATTTCATTTCAATGATGCAGGCCTCTTGCTAATCACAGCCCCCACCCCCCAATCTGCCAGAGAAATCCACCACGGCTATGAACCTCAACCAAGGGCTCATAGGAAACCGGATCTCTCTCTCTCTCTCTCTCTCTCTCTCTCTCTCTCTCTCCCTCTCTCGGTGTGTGTGTCTGTGTGTCTCTGTATGTATTTTAAGACAAGGTCTCATGTAGTCCAGGCTAGAACTAGTTACGTAGCTGAGGCTGGCCCTGAACTTCCTGTCTCCTCCTCTCAAGTGCTAAGATTACAGGCACCACCACACCAGCACAGCACAAGACCATTCTCAATCAAGCCTTCATTTCCAGCACTTGCAGCAGTGCCTGGCACATTACAGGTTTCAGTAGCTAATACACTGATTCACCAACTGAGTGGGCAGATTACACTGAAGACCTACACATTACACTCGGTTGCATGCTGTCTCACCTAATCTCCACAGCACTTTATTTTTTTAATTGAAATTTTTGTGTATTTCATACAGAACATCTCAAACAATCTCAATCATCTTTATACCCCCGTCCCCACTAGCACCCTCCCATAGCCATTCCACCCCCACTGGAGCACATATACTCGGTCATCCCTGTTAAGGCCCACTGGGTTGTGAGTGCCCCTAGTCGTTCCCCAGTGCAAGTCTATCCACTGAGTCTAGTCAGCCTATCTAGAGTCCCTTGTTTTAGGAAGATCAGCTCTTCTTCATCTAGCAGCAATCAGTTGCCAACAGTCCTTCAGGTAAGATTGAAGTTTGCTGTTCGTTTTCCCAGCTCTATGCTGGGTTATTGTCTGCCTGAGTTTGCATGGGACTTGTGTATGCTGACACCATTATGGAATCATATGAGGGGCTTTTAGGACTCTGTTTCCATATGGTCATGCACCTCCTCCCTGGCTCTTACTATCTTTCTACCCCCTCTTCCTCGATGGTCTATGAGCTTTGGGTGGGTGACATTTAATAAAGGAGTCAAGGACCAGCATTCGGCACTTGATTTCCACACTTTGGCTATCTGTGACCTTTTGTGTTCCTGGCCAACAAACATTTTCGTACTATAGGTTTCACATCACAGAGAATATAAAGTCATGGAGAGGAACTTTTGCCTCATGTTGGCTTGTTAGTAATTTGAGAGGCTGGAATTCAAACCCACATGGGCCATCCATATCCTACCCCTCAAACTACTTGCTTTATTTCTCGTCATGCAGGTTTGGTGGTCACAGCTGAGTTACACATAGAAAAATAAGTTTGATTCTCCCCTCCTCATCCCCATTAGCCCTGTTACTCTTATCCTGAGAGCCATGGGCTTGTATGTGGGTCCCGCCTGCCCTTCCCAACACACAAGGAAACAGGAGACTGCACATTATTTTTAGGATTCTAGCTTCAAAAGACAGAGCCGAGAAGGGGCTGGGCTGGGCATGACTAGAACCTTTTCCCCATAGTTTACTACTCAGAAGAGCATCCCTCTTCCCAAGGGGCTGGGGCCAGAGAAGGAAAGGAAATGAAAGTCTAGAAAGAAGGGCAGAACTACTTCTCCCATCTTTCCAAGAAGGCTGAAGATCTTGTTTGGTAAATAGAGAAACTGCCTCATTGTCAGCCTTCAGCTATGAAAGAAATAGCCTTACTTGTATTTGATGTTGAAGACTACTGAGGTACAGTGATGAGGGATGTTATCTATATTAGCAGTATCAGGGTTCAGTTGAGACAACACATTAAATCATTTCTAAAATAAAAAATCACTTTAAAAAAAATAAAACTACCCACCTTTGTGTTCTCATTCTTTCCCAACCCCCCCACCCAGCCCAACTAACTACAGGTCCTTGCTTTGTTGTTCAGGCTGGCCTGGAACTCCTGGGTTCAAATGATCCTCATGCCTGGCCTATACTATGTTTAGAATTAGGTTTTAACCCTTTCTCAGTGCAAGGCCATTCATGAGCAGCTCCTGGACCTTTCCAGCCTTGCCTCTGGGCTCCCACTGGCATCCACAGAGCTACTGTGAAGCCTTGAGAATCTTGGAATTTTAGGCTGGGGATGTAGCTCAGTTGGCAAAGTACTTACGTAGCATGCACAAAGCCCTAGGTTTGATTCCCAGCACCTCATAAAAACTGGGCCTGTGGGGCTGGAGTGATGGCTCAGAAGTTAAGAGGGCTTGCTGCTCTTGTAGAGGACCAGAGTTTGATCGTAACACCCATGTCAGGTGACTCACAACCATCTATAACTGCAGCTCCAGAGAATCCGGCCTTTGAACACACATGTGTATACACAGAGATACACAGATGCATACCTTTGAAAAGAAAAAAAAAAGCAAAACAAGAAACCCTGGGTCTATTATCCCAGCTTGGTGGAGGTGAAGCTTGGGGGATCAGAAGTTCAAGGTCCATCCTCAGCTACATAACAAGTTCAAGACCAGGCTGGGCTACATGAGGTCCTGTCTCAGAAAACTAGAAAATAAAAAATAAAAAGGGAAAACTCCCTGGGTACTGTCTGAATCCACCATCCAGACAGCCTTCCATACCCATATGTGACATTTTCTTTAGTTTTATATCCCATGTATTTTACTTTTACTTTGAGAAGAGATCTCATATATTCCAGGCACCCAGCATATAACTCTGTTTTTTGTGGTGCTAGAGATGGAAACCGAGGCTCATGCACACTAAGCAAACACTCTACCAACTGAGTTACAGCCCCAGGGTAGCTATTTTCCTAAGTATCTTTTCCTGTGTGGCTTAGTTGTTTTCAAAGCAGGCTGTGACTGAGGCGTAGATAAGTTGGTAGAGTGCTTGTCTAGCTTGCAGGAAGCCCAAGGTCCAACCTCCATGCTGAAAAAAACAGATGTGGTAGCACAAGTCTGCAATTCTAGAGCTCGAAACGTAGAAACAGTCAGCTTGTCTACATAGCCAGTTCAAGATCAGCCTGGGCTACAGGAGACCTTGTCTCAAAAAAATTTTTAAGATTAAAAAAAATTAAAAACCAAAATACTGATTTTTGCAGGGCCCCATGGCTCCTGTCTGTAAACCAGGTTATCCCACAGAGCCCCGTGTAATATAAATGTCAACATTTCATGCTTTGTCTCTCTTTTGTATTCACCCAGAGAAGACAAATCTAATCAAAGTACATTATATCCATGTAGGGAAATTCCATAATGAAACCCATTCTGTGTATAATTAATTGCGATATTAATATATGACAATGAAAAAAGACCAAAACCCCAAACCAAAAGGATCAGGCATGGTAGTCAGGCGCGGTGGTACACACCTTTTAATCCCAGCACTCGAGAGGCAGAATCAGAGGCAGGCAGATCTGAGAGATTGAAGCCAGCTGAGTCTACATCATGAGTTCCAGGCCAACTGGGGGACCCTGTATCAAAAAAGAAGGAAAGAAAGAAAAAAGACTAGAGATACTACCTTGCACAGTGATTTCATATTGTAAATGTGCAATATTGTATTCAAAAGTCATCAGCCTACCTACTTGTGATAGGTAATGTGTAAGACAGGCTCTGTCCTTCAAGGAGCAAAACCATAATGAAAGCATACCTTAACAATTATATAAACAGGAAGGCTGGGCATGGTGGCACACCTTTAATTCCAGCAGAGGCAAACAGATCTCTGTGAGTTTGAGGCCAGCCAGGTCTGCATAGCAAGTTCTAGGCCAGCCAGGGCTACATAGTAAGACCCTGTTTCAAAAAAAAAAAATTCATATAAACAGGGGTTAGGGATAGAGCTCATTGGCAAAGTGTCTGCTACGCTCATGAGGAGCCCCAAGTTTGAGCCCCAGCACTGAAAGCAAAAAAGAATTATGAAAAAAAGGTGTGGTGGAGTGCTTCAAGAGCAGGAACCACCTCTTGGGGGAACCACTTATAAGGGGATGATCAAGATCAGGGATCCTACACTAAAAGGAAGCAGGTGGGAAATGCATTATTATTTTTATTTTATGTGTATGAGTGTTTTGCCTGCATGTATGTAAATACACCTGTGTCAGGAAATGCCTGAAGCGGTCAGAAGAGTGCCTTGCATTTCATATCCTGAAAAAAAAATAATGCTTAGGAGGGCTGGTGAGATGGCTTAGAAGGGGTAGAGGGGTTGGGTGGGTTGGCACTTGCCTCCTCAGGGACAAACGACCTGAGTTCCGTACCCAGATCCCACACCCAAAGAACCCACACAGTGGAAGGAGCAAACCAACTCATGAAAGCTGTCCTCTGACCTCCACGTGTGTGCGCCTAGATAGATAGATGATAGACTAGATAGATAGATAAATAGACAGATAGATAGATAGATGATAGATAGATAGATAGATAGATAGATGATGGATGGATAGACAGATGGATAGATGATAGATGATGGATAGATGATAGATAGATAGATAGATAGATAGATATAGATAGATAGATAGATAGATAGATACATAGATACATAGATACATAGATACATAGATAGATAGATGATTGAGAGAGAGCGAGAGAGAAAGAGAGATGTAATTTTTAAATGCCTAAGAGATACTGGATGTAGTGGTGAGATCTTTGATCTCGGCACTCAAGAGGCAGGGGAAGGGGGAGCTCTGTGAGTTCGGGACCAGTCTGGTCTATATAGCAAGTTCGAGACCAGCCAGGGCTGCATATTGAGACCGTTCCTTAAAAAAAAAAAAATCCAAAGAGATTAAGGAATGAAGGGTCTATTGCTAGGACCTTGTACATGCTAATTAATTCCTGTACTACTGAGCTATATATACGCAGCCCAAAGAATGGGTTCTTAAAAGGAAAGGAGTTACTATGGGATTTATTTATCTCACAGCTTATTTCCTTGTTTATTTCAGATATGAATCAGCTAGTCGGCAGGAATGCTGCATTTTAAAGCTACCAGGGTCTTGGTAAGAGCATTCGACCAGGAGAAATTTGTCTCCACAAGAAAATGAAGTGGGCGGGGAAGTGGGAGGCGCTGGCCAGCAAGGAGGCGGAGTCACGGGAGTTCAAGCATTTCTGTCCAATCAAAAGACGATTGGCACGGGAAGCGGGGCGGGGGAGATGAAGGGGGAGCGGGAGATCCAGGATCCTGCCCAGTTACCCGAGCCCGGCGTGCCTCCAGCTTCGCGGCCCGGGTGCTTCTGCCTCCCCGAGAGCGACCGATCTCGAGGCCTGCTCCAACCATGGCCTTCGCAAACCTGCGCAAGGTACTCATCAGTGACAGCCTGGACCCCTGCTGCCGGAAGATCTTGCAAGATGGAGGGCTGCAGGTGGTAGAGAGGCAGAACTTGAGCCAGGAGGAGCTGATAGCAGAGCTGCAGGTGAGGCGAGCTGGGAGCGAAGCGAAGTCTCCGGGCATCCTTCGTCCAGACCGGCTGGCCGCATTGGTGCCAGCTCTCCCCTCTGCTGTCTCTTCCTTTAGTCCGGGGGCCTCCGGAGATTGGTGACCAGCCAGGGGGAGGGAGGAAAAGCAGAGGAAGACCTACGGCCAGGAGCTGCGGCGTGCAAACTTCGGGGGCAGTTTGCAACCTCGTGTCTCACGTTGGCTTGCCTCCCGCCAGCGCTGCAAGGTGCAGGCTGCTCCGACTGGTCTTGCAGACAGCCAGCTGGGTTCCCGAGCCTTCGCGCCGGACGCGGCGCGGGCTCTGCACACGGGGGCGTCGGGGGAGGGGCGGCCTGCGGGGAGCGCGGGATCCTTCCATGCTAAGTGCAGGCCGAGCGAATCTCGGCCGGGGTGGGGGCGGGGGACGCGGCTCTGCCTCAGCAGGTCTCGGGGCGGCCAGGGAAGCTGCGGGGGAAGGCGGCTCTCCCGGCAGCGGACGCGCACCGCCTTTTGTCTGATGCAAGAGCGCAGCGAGCTTTCCCCGCCCTCGGCCTCCCGCTGGTGCTCCGGGAGCCCGACCCCCGGGCGCTGCCAGACCCCGGGACCACCAACCCAGAGTCGGCCTGCACCTTCCTCTCCATCGCAGATCAGGACTGCAGGAGCCACCAGGACTTAGGAACCAAACTGTTATAACTTAAAACCTTGACCTTATTTTAAAAGGTTTTGTCAAGTTGAATTTGTCCAGATTTAGGGCGTTTATTTTGTGAGCCCTTCGCTCCAGTTTCCTGTCCTTCCTACCCTTCTACCTCAGTCTCTACCTCACCCCATCTCAGTTGCCCTGCCCCACCCCCCAACTTCCACGTGCTCTGGGTGCCAGGAGCCACCAGCGTGAATCCGCCTCCCCACCACCGGCTCTCTGAGGCCCCTAAACCGCAGAGGCTGTACGGTTGCTCCTGCTGCCTGGGAAACAGCCTGGGCTCCTCTGTCTCCCTTGATGGTTTCTCCCAGGACCCTGCCCCCCACCCCCCCACCCCCGCTCCCAATCCCCTTCCTCTATGGCATTATCCAAGTGCCCAGCCCCTGTTACGCTCCCAGAGACTTTCTGAGACCACCCCTTGCTCTGTTCCCAGAGGCTTTTGTGGTTCCGGTTTTCTCAGAGTTTGTAGGAGTCCATCTGGCTGTGGTGGCACACACCTGTAATCCCAGAGCTCCAAGGCTGGGGCAAGGAGGAGCTCAAGTTCTAGCACAGCCTGAGGGACTACCGAAGGCCCTGCCTGGAAAAAAAAAGAACAAAAGTTGGACCAGGTGCTTGTAATTCCACAACACTAGGGTGGCTGAAGCAGGAGAATCTCTGAGTTCAAGGTCAGCCTGGGCTACAGAGACAAACAAAAAGAAAAAGAGGAGGGTATAGGTTTGTTAGGGAGCAGGACCCCAACTGTGAGACAGCTGGTCAGGTCACAGGTCTGAGAATACCAAGCAATGGAGCCTCTACCACGCCTGGCTTGCTGGGATGGACCAAGGAGGGGAGGGGTGGTTGTCACAGATGGGTAGGGCAAGGGCTCTGGGACCTGGCTGAAGTGCAGATAGGGTCGCTCGGCTGCAGGCTCACACTGTCAAGGTCCCTGGTGTCAGTGACCCTGGCCCTAAAATCTAGGCACTGACCAGAAGGGCAGTTCGATGGCCTCCACAGCACCAGATGTTTCAACTGAGGGCTTTGCTGCTTTCTGATGGGAGTGAGAAATCTTATATCCGATAAAGGGGCAGGGATACAGGGCATCAGGAAGGTGAGGAGCAGGCCAGGCCTCCCCACAAAACCTAGAAGGGTGGGGATGGGAGTCTGGTGCTGAAACTTCAGGCCGCTTTCAAGACTGTGGAAATTCTTGGCAGGAGAGGAGGGGCGTGTGCTGACTGGCTTGCCAGCTTAGTGCTAGTTGGTCTCTTGGAGGGAGCCAACAAATCTCCATGGGCATCCTGCAGAAGGACCCTCATTTCCACACTCCTTTCTCATTGTATCCCTCCTGAGAGGGGTTTGGCACAGTGTCTCCTGCCCACCCCCATTTTAATCTTTTTGATCAGAAGCAAGGCCTAGCACCCTTGATGGAACTGGATCCTACTGCTCTGTATTCCCAGCAGGCAGTTGGCACTCAATCCTGGGCATGAGATGTTACCATTCACTCCGTCTTTTAGTGGTGCATTGCAAACAGGAATCAAATCACTGCTCATTGGGAGTCTCAAGTTTAATGAGTCTGATCACCATTTTAAAAAGCAGTAGGACCCAGAGTGGTGCTGATAGTCTATTATGTGTTGGGAGTGTTGGGGTTGGTGTGTACACACACGTGTGTATGTGTCATGAGTGTAAAGCCACACTTGAGAGGTTGGTTTCTTTTATTATTTTTAAGTTTAATGTGGTTTTTGCCTACACGTATATATGTGTACCACGTGTATGCCTGGGGCCCTTGGAGTCAAAAAAGGGGGTTGGATCCCTTGGAACTGGTGTTAGAAATGGTTGTGAGCCACTATGTGGGTGCTGGGAACTGAACCCAGATCCTCGGCAAGGGCAGCAAGTGCTCTCAACTGCTGAATCATCTCTCCACCCCCTTTGTTTGTTTTTGAGATGGAAGCTCACATAGCCCGTACTGGCCTTGAACCTTGTAACTGAGAGTAGCCTTTAATTCCTGATCCCCCTGTCTCCATCTCTCACATTCTGTTCTAACCGCAGCACCGCACTTGTAGAACTAGGTATGAACATTTGAGTAGTTCAATAATTTTCATGAGGAGAGGAGAGGAAGGACACCCTGGGGTAGTTTTGAGGGATGAGTTATGGCCTGAAGGAGGGAATAAATGGTGCTTAGAAGAGCAGGTATTTGAGGGCTCAGCATAGGTTGGGTTGGATTATGGCCTCAGTGTGTCTGTACTGATGGACTCACAAGGCCAAGGAAATGGCTTATAGTTGAGGTTGTAGGAGGCCTTGGAAGCTAGTCAACTCTGAGTGTAGGTTGGAATATAGAAGAATATAAATATTGCACACACCTTTAATTCTAGTACTCGGGAGGCAGAGGCAGGTGGATCTCTGTGAAACTGAGGCCAGCCTGGGCTATGTAGTGAATTCTAGGTCAGCTAGGGCTACAGGGAGACCCTGTCTTAAAAAAAAAATACAAAAACAACTGGACAATTTATCCCCAAATTTCCTTATCATTATTATTTAGTTTTTCCTCATTTGTTTGAATTCTGCCTTTATTTTCTAAATTCCTACATTCATGGGTATTAGTTTTGTTGCTGTTTGTTTTAAAGACAGGGGCTTGCTATATTGCTTAGTCTGGTCTTGACCTCACTATCCTCCTCCTGCCTCAGTCTTCTCAGAACTAGAATGCAGTCCTGCCCAATCACTTCACCCAGCCATGGATCTGTTTGTCTAGTGCCTGTTTGTTTGTGTTGATTTCTGAACACATCTCTCACGTTTGCCCTGATCCCTTTCATTTTTTTCTCTTTTGAAAAACTTCTTGGAAATCCTTGAGAGCCCTCCAAGGTCAAGTTCAAGTCTTGTTATCACAGCCTGGGAAGTTTCAGGTGGCAGATTTATAGCATGGAGTTTAAATGTGGGGAAGGGGGTAGGTATGAGGCTGTTTCCCTGGCTTCTCAGATCACTGAGTTGATTTAATGAGTGTTTTTCAGCATCAGTTGGTGTTAGTCCACAACCCCGAGGCAGCTGGCTCTTGTAGGCAGAGGCATCTGTACCTGTTTCTCTAGCTGCATTCCCTACCCTGGACCTTTGTTGACCCCAGAGGTCATTTTGGAGCAGCCTTTGGGAGGTAGCCAGAAGCTTGGACTTGGGTTTTCAGAAGACTTGGGCTTGATCCCAGTTTGTGCCATGTCCTAATTATACAACTTCAACAAATTACCGAGATCTTTTAGGGCCAGTTTATTTGTCTGTAATACAGAGATCATAAATTAGAGTTTTGGGAAGTACACTGCCTAACATAAAATATTTACAACAGCAGAAGAGAAACAGTATTACTTGTACTCTCCTCCCTCCCTGCCACCCCCCCCACGGGTCATCAAGGGATTTTCCGGTTTGGTTTCTGCATCTAGCTGACCAAGGCCTAGACTCTAACCTTACCATTTTGACATCTTGACAGGCCCTCCAGCTCTTCCTTAGTTATGGCATCAGAGATGCCAGTTCTCAGGCTGGTTCTAAGTCTGTAAGAGTAACTTTGTTGAGGTTAACCTCACCAAGCTGCTGTTTCTTGGCCTGGAAAATGAGGATAACTATGGCCATTCTTGGAGCTGTGAGGGGAGAACACAAAGCACCCACTGTAGACGCTAATCCACGGTTTATGCGTTCGGCACAAAGGCTGGTGAGACTGCTGCTGTGGAGTAAAAGGAGGGGCTAAAACAGCTACAGATAGAGAACATGCCTAAATTTAAAAATCCTTGCTTTAGGAGAATGTCAAATATAGACCAAACTGCAGGTCAAGGAGGGGATGACTGAACAGGAACTCCTGGGGCTGGGGATGTAGGTCAGTGGGTAGAGTGCTTGCCTAGATGCAGGGTTCCATCCTCAGTGCCTCATAAACTGGGTGTGGTAGTGCATGCTAGTAATCCCAGCGTTTAGGAGACAGGAGGGAGCGGAGGTTCAAAGTCGTTGTGAACGCAAAGCCAGCCTGGTCTACAGGAGACCCTGTCTCAAAACAAAAGGGAGGAGCAAGAACGTTCAGCAGATAGCAGTGCCTGCTGCCAAGACTGGCCTCTGAGTTCCATCCTCGGAACCCTTTTTTATAACAACACTTCCTTACCAGCCTGGGACCATGCATCTGGGACAGACTATGGACTTGTTCACCTATTACATCTCTTGTGGCTTTGAATTCTGTGTTTAGGCAAAGAATATCCTAATCCTGGAAAGATGGCATGTACTGTGAGATTCTGAATGGTTCCAAGGAAGACTGTCTTGGGGGCCCAACCTGTCCCAAATAGAGTGGATGCGATGAATTCAGTCTTAATTTTCACATGTATATTTTATAAGATTGCCCGAGCCTCTGAGCAAGTAGAGATGACACTACTTGTTTCTTGGCCCTCCTGGTCTCATTTCCTTTGGGTTCTCGGTTTAGGAAGCGTTTTTCTTTCACCAGTATGCCTTTCATTCATTTGCTTACTCATTCAGCCAGCCAGTATTTATGGACTACTGTCCGTGTACCAGACCCAGAGGCTTGCTGGGTGGAGTTAGATTCCACCTCTGCTCTCCAAGGCTCAGTGTCCAGTAGAGGAAGCGATGTTGAACAGGGCCAGGTGCTGGACCTTCCTTGTTTCATTTTCTTCTCACACACCAGAGGCTGAAGCTCACATTCACTGCTTGTAAGGAATGCAGCTTAGATAAGGAGTGCAGCTTAGAATTGAACCCAGGCTGAACTGATAATGGAGCCTTCCAGGTGAGTATACAAAAGATATTGCCTGCCTTTCTTGGGCTCGGTCTCAAGCCAGCGTACGTGCAGGAACTCACACTGGGAGCAAAGCAGTGTGCAGGAAGTTTAGCGTGTACAGAGCTGACTAGGGCATGCGTCTGGACACACCGAGGGTACATTCAGGACAGATTTTCCCTTGGCTGCAGGTGCAGGTGGGTACCATCTGGGGAACAGTGATGAGCCAGGGCCTAGAGCCTGCAGTACAAGTCCTAATCCACCCCTCCCGGTAGCATGCAGTGAGGAGGCCAGAGCTGCTCAGGAGTAGACACTCATGACTGACTTACCCCCATGGTCCTGGGAATGCACCTCTCACTTGGGAATGTGCAGTGGGGTACCAGAGGCCTCAGGTACCTCACAAAACAACTGTGTAGACCCAGGTGTTTCTTCCCCTGCCCAGGATTGCGAAGGCCTTATCGTCCGCTCGGCTACCAAGGTCACTGCTGATGTCATCAATGCAGCAGAGAAGCTCCAGGTGGTGGGCAGGGCTGGTACAGGTGTGGACAATGTGGATCTGGAAGCTGCCACCAGGAAGGGCATCCTGGTCATGAAGTAAGCTGTGGAAGCGAGGGTGGGTGTGGAGACCAACACCAGCAGGAAGAACTTCAGTGACAGCCAGTTAGAAGGACTTTCAGAGAGATGTCTGACCTAGGCCCTGAGAACCTGTGTTCAATCACTAGCTCAGCTTGGTAGCTCCAAGGCTGTGAGACAGAGACTATCTATAAACTCAGAATGCTTCAGAAACTCACCCCCCTCTGATGCTTATATATCTACACCCAGTGTAGGAGCCAGAAGAATGTTAGTGAAGCCTTTCTCCCCACCTTGTTGGGGGCCAGGTTTTGTAAGGTCTGTGATGCTTGACCTTGTACCTTGGATAGATCCACAGACTTTCTGAGTAGTGACTTCCCTTGCTGACTCTTCTATTTCCCATCATCATTCTGGAGTTAAGATCCCAGTTTCTCTTTCAGCACTCTAGGCCCAAGAAGAGAGAGTCCCCACTATTGCTGTTTTTGCAGAAGCTGGGGGCCAAAGGTCATGGCCAGCATGCCCCTACTGCAGTGTGCTGAATAGGGACTTGAGTTAGGTATGCAGGCCAGTCCCAGTTCACTTCTCTAACCCCAGGTTCTTTGGGGAAACCTAATCCTTAAGACCTTTCCCCTCGCCTGCCCTCCAGGAAGGTTAGGGTTAATTAACAGAGCAACTGACTGAGGTCAATATCTGATGGTCTGAATGTTAAAGGATAACCCATCCTACTCCCATCTGGACACAGGGGCTGCTGGCCCCACCTCTGCCCTACCTACCCTAGGCCCATTTCCTAGGAAAGAACTGGAAGCCTCATCTTGCAGAAGGGAGGACTCTGTGAGTCCTTTTATCTTTTAATGGGTCTCTTAACTTTAACTCCTAATAATCTTCATTTCTAGAGATGAAAAGACCCAGTAGAGGATGAAGGAGGTGAAAGGAAAGTTTCCTGAGTTGCCTCAATGGGCCGAGTCAGCATTGCCCTGGGTTTTAGCTGGAGGAGGCTCTTTCAGTTCAGAATTTGAGAAAGAAGAAACCAAACAGGTGGAAAGAAAAACAATATTAGTTTTGTTGCTTAGCAGTTAAGAGCACTGGCTGCTCTTGCAGAGAGAGGTTCAGTTCCCAGCACCAACATGGCAGCTGACAACTGTGTGTAACTCCAGTTCCAAGGGATCCAATGCTCTCTTCTGATGTCCACAGGCATTGCACAACACAGGTGCACTTACATCCATGCAGGCAATACACTCATAGACATAAAAATAAAGTATCTTAAAAAATAAGTGAGTGATGCCGGTTGTGGTGGTGCACACCTTTAGTCCCAGCACTCTGGAGCAGAGGCAGGTGGATCTCTGTGAGTTTGAGGTCAGCCTGGTCTCCATAGTGAGTTCCAGGCCAGCTGGGGCTGCAGGGAAACCCCATCTCAAAAAGACCAAAAAAAAAAAAAAAGTGAGTGGATCCTGAAATGAGAGACAACTGGGCCAAGCCACCTACACATCTCCCCATCATGTGAGGCACTTCTCTTCCTTGGGAAAAGTGAGATAGACTGGGCCTTTTGCTTGTCTGAGGGAGGGCCCTCTGCTAGGGACCAGGAGGTCAGGGTGAGCTGATTTCCTTCTAGCCCTGGGCTAGAGAAGCCGGGATAGGAGTTTAGAGTTGGAACAGTGGAAACATTAGGTTTGTGTGAGTCTGCTGACATCCTCTCTTCTCTTGGCTCTTTAGCACGCCCAATGGAAACAGCCTCAGTGCTGCAGAGCTCACCTGTGGGATGATCATGTGCCTGGCCAGGTAAATTTTCCCTGACTTCTCAGCAGAGCCAGCTGCATTCTGGTAGGTCAATGATTACCACTTGGCAAGCATGAGACCTAGTAAAAGGTAGAACCTGGAGACACACAGACTGCTGAGTGCTCATTACTCTGAGCACATAGGCCATGTGGCCTCTTGGGGTATTGGAAGTACACACAGGAGGATGGGTGTGGGGCTGCTGCTCGGTATACAGTAGCAAGCGCACAGACGGTGCATGTGCACAGTGATCTTCCTTCCCTTCCTCTTACTTGCTACCATGCCATACCATGGGTGTGACTTCTCTAACTTCTGACTCTTGCATATGCTTTCCATACCCTGTAGTCCCAAGCATCCTTCCCCACCATGTGTGTCCAGGTACCTCTGCTTAAGCTCAAGATTTTTAGGCTTAGCTCATGTTAATTCCTTCAAGAAACTGGTTTCCCCAGGCATGCCCCCCAGGCTTTACTGGACAATGTCCCTAGAGATCTGTATTGTAATAGTGTGGCATAACCACCTGTTCCTCATCTCTGTGCCCACAGAGATGGGTTCAGAGATGGGCTCGTAACCCAGTTGAACTCAAATGGTCTCTGGCAGGGATTCTGGAAGGTGTGGGCCTCCCAAGGAAGCAGTCTAAAGAAACATGGCACACAATCTTACGTGTCCTAATGTGCCGGGCATTTGTCAGAAATGACATAGGCATCTTATATATTCCTGTGATACAAGGTTTCTAGTGAAATGGGGCAAGGAAGCTGCTCCAAAGCCCTTTAAGGATTCTTAGATCCTTAAGCCAGGAGATCCAGGCAAAAGATCAAAAACTCAGGCCTGAAACCTGCTGTGACTGAAAAGTTACTCTTCTTCTATCTCAAGGACTGTTTTCCACTCTTGCTAGGAAGCTAGAGCGAAGGTTCAGTCCCCCATGATTACTGCCTAGGAACTCAGGAAGTCCACTGGTCGGGGGGGGGGGCACAGAGACCACATGTACGGCACTAGAGTCTCAGCTACCCAGGGTCCCTGAAGTCTTCCAGGATGGAAGTGTCTCCTGGGGGAATTCTAAAAACTTGGTGCCCTGCTTTCACTTGTACTGTTAAATTCCGTGATATATTTATTTGTAAAGTAAAGGAAACATCTCTTAGTACAGCTTTTTTTTTTTTTTTTTTTTTTTTTTTTTTTTTTGTCTTTTTGAGACAGGGTCTCCCTGTAGCCCCAGCTGTCCTGGAACTCACTATGTAGACCAGGCTGTCCTAGAACTCACAGAGATCAGCCTGCCTCTGCCTCCCAAGTGCTGGGATTAAAGGCGCGTGCCACCACGCCCGGCCTCTTAGTACAGCTTTTAATCTAATTCTCTCTCTCCTTTTTCCCCTCTGGGAGTGAGGAATGATTTGAGAGCCAGGAATATTGTCCATCCTGAGCAGGGACCAGCTTATCTAAAGGAGTAGGCAAAGCCCCTGTGATTTACCTTGGTGGTGGTTCGGAACCCCCCCCCCAGAATGCTGGCTAGAGACAGATGTCCCGGGGGGTGGAGGAGGGGGGAGGCTCCCAGGTCAGGTCTTGTCAAAGCTCTCACTGTCCTGCCCTCCCCTTTCTCCCAGTGGCCCCAAACCTGAGTCCCCATACCTATGTTGAGCTTGTGTCTCAGAAGAGTGACCACAATAGGTGGATGCTACGTAGAGCTGTCCCCAAACCGCCTTCCTGGGCTGTGGGGTGGGCCAACCATACCTACTTGTGTCCTTGCAGGCAGATTCCCCAAGCAACGGCTTCGATGAAAAATGGCAAATGGGACCGAAAGAAGGTAAGCAGCAGCTTTGCCTTGCCCACCTAGGCTCAGCGCCCAAGCCCCACTCGGTGCTGACTTGGTCATCTTTGCCTTTTGCCTGCCTGGTTGCAGTTCATGGGGACAGAGCTGAATGGAAAGACATTGGGAATTCTTGGCCTGGGCAGAATTGGAAGAGAGGTGGCCACCCGGATGCAGTCCTTTGGGATGAAGGTAAGAGGTTACCAGACTCCTTGGACATGAGGTTTTTCCACAGCAATATTGGAAGAAGCTTGGGAGAAGCCAATGACCTTATCCTAGGTACATCTTTAGAGCTCTTACTAAATAAGCATAAAGTCAGGGAGCGAGGGAACACTGACCTCTTGACTATGACATTTGCACTCAGAGGCTGGGAATCGTTGGGACGGGTCCCTCAGCTCCTGGATGTCAATAGCCCTGAGCCTCAGTGGCCCAGAGAACCGAGAAGGTTCTTCTATCATTCCCATCCTTTCCTGCCCTGCTACAAGGACCTCCTGGTTTTGCTGTGTTTACTCTCTGATAATTTGGGAAACAGGAGCAAATTTCCAGCTTAATGCTAGAGCAGTGGTCTTTCTTTCTTTCTGTCCTTCCTGATTCCTTCAACATTCCAGCAAATATTTAAAGGTGCTGATAGTGGGGCATGGTTGCACATATCTGTAATACTAGCATTGCAGGGACTGAGGCAGGGAGGTGGTTCATGAGTTCAAGGCCAGCCTGAGCTACACAGCAAGAGCCTATTTTATTTTATTAATATCCTATTTATTATTTTTATGCTATGTGTTTGAGTGTTATGCGTGTCGTGCAGTGCCTGTGGAGGTCAGAAGAAGGCATCAGATCCCCTGGAACTGGAGTTACGGACTGTCGTTAGCCACCACGTGGGTGCTGGGAATTGACCCCAGGTCCTCTGCAAGAGCAGTGAGTGCCCTTAACTACTGAGCCCTCTCCAGCCCCACAAGAGCCTGTTTTAAAAAGTAAAGTGTTTGTATAGTCTGATAGGCTGGTGACTGAACAAGTTGAGGCTTCCAACTGGGTGAAGGCTGTGATCACTAGCTGTATCATCCCGTTGGGTCAATCTAGGAGAACTTGCAGACAGCTAAGAGAGGACTGCATGACTGGCCAGATAGGCCAGAGAGATGAAGGCAGCCATCTGTGCCAGCAGGCATTCCATATTTACTGTGGCTGTTGAGGGAATTACAGGGATTATGGGTCACCCAGCAGCCAGAAGGCTTTAGTTAAACATTAAGAAAGTTGTTTTGACAATAATCAGATTATTCCCAGTCTAGGAAGCTTTACAGAGGACTGCCGTGGAATTTCCCCTCGCTCTCTTCCTTGCTCTTCTTATCATCTCTGTACCTTTTTATCATGAGGCAGGATATTATCGGCTTCTCTTAATGTTATATACTGGCATCCAGAATTCATAAGAATATGTCTAAAGGACTCAATGAAGGGATGTTGCCCAGACCCGAGGTGGGCATTCCACCCCACCACACTGAGTGTTGTCTTCCTGCCTCCACTCCTCACCATAGTTATTAAAGTCACACATCTTTCTGAAGCCTCAGAACTGAGAAGGGCAGGTATATATATTTTTTAGATTCCAAGAGAAAATGGGCCTGACCCAGCAGGATCCATTGATCATTAAAAAAAACCTACAGCTTGGCCCTCTGCCTGGGGAGGGGCAGAGGAGGAGATGCCATGAGCTACTAAGAGCACTTTTTCCAACTTCTTCTGGGAGGTCCAAGGTCAAGTTTTATCCCATGGAGAATTCTGATCTAAAAGCAGAGGTCAGTGTTCAAGCAACACTAAGCTCATGAAGCCAACCAGCTGAGCATTTCTTTGGCAGTGTGGTGGCTTGGGGACAGACAGCAAAGCCAGCAGTCTTTCATGATTCCACGATCTTTCCTCTGACATTACTACCCACAGACTCCTCTAGCTGAGGGACATTATTGTCAGGGAAACTTTGGCAGTGACTGAATGCAGCCAAAGAGCCCTGTTTTGTTCCCTGAATAATGGCAGTGAGAGGGAAACCTGCTTGTCTGCCTAGGACTGCTCAACTGCTCCCCTGCAGAGAGGTGCAGTGCATGTGGGACCCTGAGCGTCAGTGTCAAGAATACCTAATGCCTCTCTAAGACTAATACCTCTCAGGTATGTGTTGCTGAGAGATATCTAGAGCCTGTTCATTTCAGTGCTGTTCTGTATCCCTTGGGTGCCTCATCCCCTACATGCTTGAATATGTTTGGGATAGACTGTCATTATGGTAGTTTACCTCAAACTCAAAATCCCCCTGCCTCAACCTCTTGAGTGCTCGAATTACAAGCCTCTACCACCATGCCCAATCTTACCCATGTTTTACTCCCACCAGATCTCTGAGAGCCTGGTGCCTTTACTTGAAGGTTTCTTCTGTCTAGATATCTCTGGAGAGTTACTCTTGGCTGTCTTGATTTTGAAACATTCTTTGTAAACTTCTGAAACACAGCTTGTAATGTCCTATCACACGACCGCATCCCCCAGCCTCTTCAGAACTGCCTGACCTGCTTCTTTCAGAGCCCTCCATGTCCAGCCATTGCCTTAACTGTGCTTCCTCACACATTTCTGGGTTTCAATGAGTGTCATCTCGGGTGAGAGAGGTTACAAACTTGCTTCATCTAAGCACATGTCCATGTCCCAGCACTCATAGAGAACAAAATAAAAGTGCTTCCAAGTATCCGGATAGGAAACAATGACCAGTCTTTACTAAACACAGGCTATTTCAAACTGGTCTTGTTCTCTTGGAAGACCACATTAAACTGGTAGAGCTTGGGGATTTCTAAATGTCACTTATCTAGACTGTTTAAAAATATGGTGGGTTTTTTGTTTTTGTTTGTTTGTTTTGTGGTACTAAGGATTTAACCAAGAACCTCATGTAAGCTAGGCAAGTTGCTATACCACTGAATTATATCCCCATCCATTTTTATTATTTTTGTCTTGGGACAGTCTTGGTAAGTTGCAACAGCTGGCTTTGAACTCAAGACCCTTTACCTCCATCTCTGAGTGCTGAGATTCTAGATATGAGCGAGGATGTCCAGCTTACAGTTAGACTTTAATCTTGTAATAAATGAATGCATTCATATAAATAAAGGTCACCTGGATCACCTTCACAATAACACTAGTTTGGTACACGTCACCCAAGATTGCATTCTCTGCATGTACATAGAATGCTTACTATATCCAGAGATGGCTCTGTGCCTGTGATAGAACACAATATTTTGTATGGTATTAAGATAAAAATACAGCTAGTGGTTGGAGAGACAGCTCAGCGGTTAAGAGCACTGACTGCTCTTGAGGAGGACCCAGGTTCAATTCCCAGCACCCACATGGTGGCTGCAAACCATCCTTAACTCCAGTTCCAGGGGAATCCGAAGCCCTCTTCTGACCTCCTCGGCATTGCCTGACACAGGTGCACTCACATACATACAGGCAACACACTCATACACTTAAAATAAAAATAACAAATAACAAAATATAACTAGTCTATAATGCTCTTAAACATTTGTGTGGAATGCTGTGGTGTGGATAGTTGCTCTTATTAACTATTCTACCAATGAGGAATATTTGTTTGTAAATGTACACTTAGCAAGACCTCTTGGGGTTATGTTGTTGCCTCTGAGCCTGGTGTTGACACTTTTACAAGGATGAGAATGAGATTCAAGGAGGGACTCTCTCAAGCTGGAGGAAGGCTGTCTGTGGTGGCATGGTGATCTCTCTCTGGCCTACCATTCTCACCAACAGCCTGGACCATATACCATCTGTGGAAGCCAGAAAGCAAGGAGACATAGTTAATACTTGAGTATAGAATTAGGCCAGGCATGGTGGTGCATGCCTATAATCCCATCTGAGAGAGGAGGATCAAGAGTTCAAGGCTAGCTTGGGCTACATAGAGAGACCCTGTCTCAAGAGTATAGCATCAAATCCTAGAAGGCATGAGAAGGCTAGAGTGATTGGGCTTCCTAATAAGAAGTTTAACTAGAATGTAGTTAGACACAGATTTCAGTGTCTTTGTGGGTATCAAAAGCAATTAGACAAGTTTGGGCATTTGAAGCATTTATAAAAAGCTTTGCTCAACAAATGATCAGCAGTTTTGAGGGGGTTTTGTTTGGTTTTTGTTGTTTGTCTGCTTGGAGACAGGGTTTCACTATGTAGCCCTGGCTGGTCTGGAACTCATGTAGACCAGGCCGGCCTCCAACTCACAGAGCTCCTCCTGCCTCTGCCTTCTGAGTGCTGGGATTAATGGTGTGTGCCACCACACCCTGCAAGGTGTTCTGTTCTTATACTAGGTTTATATGTAAGATTCTATTGCAGTGGTGGGAAGGATCCCATGCTAAGTCAAAAGTCTTAGCTACAAGGAAGAGAGGGTGTGATGAGCCCAGTTCTGCACTGAAGCCCTTGTAGCTGGAAGATGAACCTTCTTCCTGTGCTGCTTCTCCCATCCAAGTACTAACCAGGCCTGACCTTGCTTAGCTTCCAAGATCAGATGAGTGCATTTTAGGTGGTATGGCCCCAGACCCAGCTCTGTCTTATGGAACATCGTCCGGGAAACATGGCTTCCTTCTCTGTGGCCCCATCAGCTGTCTGAGCTGGTATTGACCTCGGGAACTCCCTGAGGACATAGCCGTTGAAAAGTGTGTACTCAGAGATGCTCCAGGTTCTGTACACGGACCTCTGACCCCTTTCAGGACACTTAGGACTAAGGCAGGCATGTGGCTTGGAGATCTGTTCTGTCCATTTACCCCTGCGGAGTCTCCTGGCATGGGAACTCCAGCCCCTAGCTGAGTTCAGCTCCTTTCTGTCCTGGTTATCTCAAGTGAAAAATAGGAACAGGGCTTTTCTCAGTCAAATTCTCATTCCTGGCAGTTGCCTGCAGATAAGTGGAGATACTGTTTCTCTGTGGGGGAAATAGCTGAGCCAGTGTCAGCTGGCCACTGGATGGTGCTTGCCCATTCCTTTCCCAGCCCACCCCCCTCGACTCTAGGCACCTGCTGGCATTAGCAGGGACACGGGGCCAGGTGCTGGCTGCGGATTCTCTTGCCAGCCCCAAGCTCTGCCTTGGCTCCTGTGTAGGCTGCTATGAGTGAGCTCGCTCAGTCACGCATGACTTTGTGATCTCTGCTGTTCTTTTCCTCTCCCTGCTGCACATGAGAAGAAAAATACATCTGGATTAGAGATGAACAGGGCCATTGTTCCAGCCAGTCTCGGTGCCAGCAGACAAAGAAGACTTGTGAGGACAAGGACAGGGATTCTATCTCTTCCCTGAGCACTGCCTTCTGTGCACACAAATGAGTAGACTCCATCGGAGGGGAATCACAGTGTCTGAACAAACCCACAAGCCCTTGTTTCTGTGAGCTGAAGTCCTTATGGGGTCTAGAGAGGCAGTGTCTTTTCTCGGCCCCTCACTGGTGGCTGGATTCAGGGAAGGGAGCCACTTAGCTTTGCTCATACACAAGGTTAGTGATAGAAGATGTGCTCTAGAAATGTTATCTTTGTCATAACTACATTTGCCTTTCCTTCCTCAGAAGCTCTGCTTGTGAAGTGGAAGTTCTCTTTCTACTCTAAAGCATTACTTATATTCCTCGAGTTTTAAGTGGTTTATACACAATGTAGCGGATGACTTAAAATACATAAAGGGAAACCTGATTCCTCTCCAGAGGCAGCCACTACCCAAGGATTATGCTGTGTTCCCTTTCTGTTTTTCCTTAATGCCAGGTCAAAATCTGAACATATTTTCCCAGGGTTAAATATTATTTTTTATTTTGTGTGTATAAGTGTTTTGCATGCATGTAAGTGCACCTGTGTCGTGCAATACCTGCAGAGGTCAGAAGAGGGCGTCAGATCCCTTGGAACTGGAAATTACAGATGGTTGTTAGCCTCCATGTGGGTGCTGGGAACTAAACCTGGGTCCTCTGCAAAAGCAGCTAGTGCTCTTAACTACTGAGCCATCTCTCCAGCCCCACATAATTTAGTATTAGTGAATGTTAGAGCAGTGCATGACTGACAGATGTCATCTCTCCAGTAGCTCTCACATTGGGGCGAGGACCCAAGTCTAGAGGAGCCTGACATATCCCTTGACACACGGTGGCAGCAGCCGGGGAAGGATCCCTGGCTCCTGTGTACTCCAGGCCCATCTGGCTCTATTACTACCCTGCCCTTCTGAGTTCATCAGGTTCCTTTGTGATTCTTAGGAATCCTGTACCTTTTTCCCTAGTCAGTATTGTAGATAAGGAAAAGGTCTGGGAAGGCCCCCTGCGTAGATCAAGGCAGAAGGTGCATAGGTCTTTGTTGTTGCATGAGGTCCGTCTCCAAGCCTGCTTCCTGATTCTGCCTGGCTGCCTGTGCTGGGCTTGGATCATGGGCACTTAGACTGTCTCTGAGGCAGGGAACAGGCTTCATCTCATTCCACTTTGCTCTCTTTAATGGGAATATGGCCTCTCCATGCGACCTCTCATGTCTCAAAGTCTGGAAGAGTCGCTTGTCCCTGTGCTGTAGGACAAAGCTGCCCTTTCCCGTGATAGTCCCAGTGCTGTCCTGCCCTCTGCCCATATCTCACTTCTCTGTTGTCTTGCCTTTGGCCACTGTGGAGCACAGACTCTAGGAGGTCAGGCTCTGGGACCAAAGCATACAGCTTGTGTTCATTCTAGCTGTGTGGTCACTGCCTCTGTTTCTACCCCATCACACAGGGAAATAAGATACCTACCCATTAGGTATGAATTAGTTGAAAAACCTCATCCAGGCCTGGTGGTCAGGCCTGTAATCTTAGCACTCCAAAGGCTGAGGCAGGAGGATCTCAACTGTAAGGCAAGCCTGGGCTTTAAAGAAAAAACTGCTAATAACACCAACAAAGCAGCTGGCGCAGAGTGGCTGGTGACTGGCGTTGCTGCTGTTAGCCATGAGCGTTTGTTTTCCTCCATGTGCTGCCTGCTTCTCATCACTCATCACTGATAGGTGCTGTCCATGAACCTGTTTCATGAGGCGATGTACCCTGTTAAAGAATTGGCCATTGGTCATTAGTTGTTGTGCAATCTAGCTTATTTCAAGACTAGATGCATTTTAACCATAACTAAAAGAAATGTAAAGAGAGGGACTATATCCTCCCCATAGGCATGTCAGCCCTGGCATTTCACCCTTGTATCTAACGATACAGCTTGGTCTCTTCTGATCCTCACTACCCCACCAATGTCCCCTTCCCTCACTTCTCCCTCTGTCTACATTCTTAGTGCATCTGCTTCCAGGACCGATGAGCTGCATCTACCATCCTGTCCTCTATTCCCTGGGGCAGCACGCGTCGGTGTCACTGCTCCCTCACCAAGAGCTTCTGAGCTCCACCTTGTCCAGCCACACAAGCTGCTCCTGCATCTGCTTATGGGCGGAGTTCGGTGGCAGACAGGTTTCCCTTTGCCCTGGCTGTGCTCCCTCCTAGTTGCGGAAGCCGCCCTTCCATCAGTTTAAACCAGGCAGAAGAGTAACCCGCAGCTCACTGTATTGCCCTGAGAATTAAACTAGAGGGTTCAGTTAGGCTTAACACTGTTCCAGCTGTGTTGCAAACACTTGATAAATGCTGTTGTCACTGATGATGGCGGTATTAGTGGTTAGTAAAGATGCTGCTTCCCCTTCTTTTGCTTCTGACCAGACTGTAGGGTATGATCCCATCATTTCCCCAGAAGTTGCAGCCTCCTTCGGTGTTCAGCAGCTGCCCCTGGAAGAGATCTGGCCTCTCTGTGATTTCATCACTGTCCACACACCCCTCCTGCCCTCCACCACAGGTAATGTATCCCTACCTTGTGGGTTGACCACAGAGGTAACAGAACAGATAGAGTGGGGCCTCAGTTCGGGATGTCTGCAGAGACCCGTGTGTAAATAGAGAGAGGGGACTGCCCAGGACCTGCTGAGCATGGTGATACTTTCACAAGGCCCTGCCTCAGATGGAGGAGGGGTAAGCTAGCTGGAAAAGCACAGGTGTCTGGGTGAGTTGGGCACATGTGCAACCAGTGTCCCATGTGGAGGCCTCCTGGGATCCTGCAGGGTTTTCTGATTCTTGGACCTACTCAAAGCACCCTTATCTCTAAAACTTCTGCTAGGGTGTTTCTAACCTACATCTAGCCCACATCTGGGTTTCCTATCCTGGAGCATCTAAAAAGACAGGTGAGAAGAAAGGCAGCTGTCCAGCAGAAAGAGACCTATGAGGAAAGGTGGCTCTCGGGAATCCATGATGAGCCAGGGGTCAGGAGCGGTCACAGAAGGCAGCATCTCCTTTCTCTTCCAGGCTTGCTGAATGACAGCACCTTCGCCCAATGCAAGAAGGGTGTACGAGTGGTGAACTGTGCTCGGGGAGGGATTGTAGATGAAGGTGCCCTGCTCCGGGCTCTGCAGTCTGGTCAGTGTGCCGGTGCCGCACTGGACGTGTTTACAGAAGTAAGTGCTTGCAGCCTCAGTGTCAGCTTGGAGGGGAGAGGGCAAAAAAAATGCAGCATTTTTCAGGGCTGTAGCTCACTGTTCCTAGCATGAAGGAAGCTGTACTGTCTTCTTCAAAACCCAGCTTTTAATGAGGACCCAAGTCCTGGTCCTGGGCATCTCACACTGTTACTGTATCTAACTTGGGTTAGACAGAGACAGATTGGTGAGGATGAGGATTCTGGACAAGGAGAAAGAAACAGTTTATCATTACAGATCATTAATTTAAGTCAGTCCCTGGATGGTTCAGCCAGCCCAGTATCCATTAACATTCCTCTTTCCTCCTTACCTCCTCAGGAAGGGACAGTATTTTCCCAGAGTTCCCAGGGTGGACTGTCCTCAGCAAGTACAAAGGCTCATCCCCAGCATGTAGAGTGAGGGAAACTATGTCTCCACTGAACCTGTTGTCCCTTCTCCTCAAAGATGCAGCCTCAATGTCAAGGCTCCTCACTGTGACCCTAGAGAAAGAGCCTGGGATTTGGATCAAGGACTTATGTTCAAGTTCTAGCTTGGGGCCTTGACAAGTCACTGACCCTCTCTGAATCCCTGTAGCACGCATTATCTAGTCCCAGGCCAGGGTGCACAGTGCATTTTAGTTTGTTCCTGGCTGTCTTTCTCAACTCTGTCACAAGCTTCCATCTTCCTAATGCACCATCTTCTGCTGCCTTCATTGTTTTTACATCACGTAACACTAGGCAGCATGGCGGTTTCATGCTCAAGATTCAGTGTTACCAACCGTGGAGGGGATACAGTCAGTACATAGCTAACCTAGAGGTATCCTTCTCTGGGCAGGAGCCGCCACGTGGCCGAGCCTTAGTTGACCATGAAAATGTCATCAGCTGCCCTCACCTGGGTGCCAGCACCAAGGAGGCCCAAAGCCGCTGTGGGGAGGAAATCGCTATGCAGTTTGTGGACATGGTGAAGGGGAAATCTCTAACTGGGGTTGTAAGTATCACTGCCTGGAACTGGGGCCCGGAAGCCCGGGAGGAGAGAGAGGACACAACAGCTAAGGGTGGACAGATTCAGCCCTGAAAGGGAAGTATGGAATCTTCTTGTACTTGTGTTAGCCCTGGAGGAGTGTGGGCAGAACCTGCTCTTCTATATCCTTGATAGCTAAGGCCTTGGAGCTGGGAGTCCAATTCCCGGCTGTTATATTGTAGCCTTTCTGAAGAGAATGTGCCAGTTCCCAGGCTCAGCTGTTAGAGAAAGGCTCCTTTGTTGACCACATGCCTTGGGAATGAAGGAGTGTTGCTACGGTGATGGAGCTGTGTGTGTGTGTGTGTGTGTGTGTGTGTGTGTGTGTGTGCATGTTGTTGGGGGGGGTGTGCTACAGCACTCTTTGCATCACGTGGTCAGGGCTCATCCTGCCATGACAACCCAGTCTCCTTTATTTTAAGTCTAGATAGTCAGTGGGTACCAGATACTGCCTCACCCCCTTGGAGACACAGATGAGCTAGGAAAACACAGCTCTTTCTGGGGATTCCCTTCCTCCTTCACCAAGATTTTGTGGGCCTTTGCAGCTCCATCCCAATCCTTTTGCTAAATTAAATTATTAAGTTCTAAGTTCTTGGAGGGCAGAAAAATCTGACTTAATTTTCCTGAAGCTTGTGTGAGTAGGCCCGGATCACGTACTTTACAAAAAATAGTGGATGAAACTGGATGTGTGAGGGGGCACTCCCAGCCTTCCTGGCTGACCCACAGCCTGGGGATTGTGACTGGCAGGGGCAGAGCCTTGGCAAGAAAGACCATTTTATTTAGTTCTCTCTTCTCTGGTGGGACAGCCAAGTCCTGTGTCTCGAGACAATCAAGGTGCCATTCGGTCTGTGGAAATCTGGAGGGTTTCTAGGCGGCCAGTTTTGTGAAGGCCTAGAGCCTATGGTAACCAGAGGACACTGACCAGTCTGTCCTCATTTTCTGTATGGTGTTTTGGCACCTTGAACCAGAGCATACCTTCCTCATCTGGCCACCCAGTGAGCTTCTGAGCAGGTGACCGCAATTGGGGTCCTGGTTGAGCTGTCCAACCGGAGAAGGGAAGATGGAATAAAACAGACTGTCTCTCGTGCCTCAGGGGGGGGTCCCTCCCAGTGAGTGTCCCCAAGCTTGGGCAACCCAGTGTGGCTTAACCCTCTCAGTCCTCTCAAAGGTAGGTTTCCGTCCTGTCCATGGGAGACCTTGTGGGGTAGTCACCTGTCAGTAGGTAGTGACATCTGTTACTTTTCCTGACTGGGACTCTGTAACACAAACTGCATCAAAGCACAACTATAGAAAGTCACCATCTTACATACAAGGTGGCATCTCTGGTCAGCATACGTGTTAGCAAGTCCGACTGTCTGCCCAAAGCTGCTGACAGTTTTTGAAGAACTTTTAGAAAGATGTTTTTATCACAAAATTCTTCCTGTGTCTTCTCCAGTTCAGTATTGTTCAAACCTTAACACAGATGAGTGTTCTGGCCAGGCTGGTGTCCAGAGGCACCTGACTCCACCATGGGGTCTTCCCATTTGCCTGTTCAAGACTTACCACTGCACATCCTTTTATTGCACAGACGCATAGTGAGCAAGCGCAACCCTAGGCTGGGCTTTGTGAGCCCCACAAGGAGGACAAAAGTGAAGTGGGATACCTGCCTTTGGGGTTTCTTGGCTAAGCACATCTCCTGTGTCCACCACCACTCTGGATTAAGCCAGCTGCTCTCTCTGGGTCTACTTCCTGGGGTTCTGTTCTCCCTTTCTGTGTCTCCTGCAGCAGGAAACGCTGTAACAACCTCTAACCCAGAAGGGTCTTGTGAAAAGCCCTGCCTTATGGTCATTTCTGGCACCTAGAGAGACTAAAAACACTCTTCTGTTGACTATAAAAACAAGAACAGAAGTATTGTGTTGTTTTTCTCATCTCATCTTGTAGCTGTTTAATTTGGCTTGTCATCCAAACCCCAGGGTTTCTGGTAGGAATTTGTACTTAGAGACAGGGTTTTACTCTGTTGCCCAGGCTGGCTTAGAATTTCAGACACCCTCCTGTCTCAACCTCCCTAATGTTGAGGTTACAGGCATGAGCCACCATGCGTAGGATTAATAAAACCCAGATTGCTAATTAAATCCTTCGTAGTTAGTCCTGTTTATAAGTAACCTCAAAAAAAGCTGCAAGTAGCCAAGTACCAGATTATCTGGAGCCACAAAAAGGAAACAAAACTTTGGCTCAGAACAAGTAAGCTCTGCTATCAGGTTCCTGGTGGGGGTCCAGGCAATGAGACCCTAGACCTGGAATGTCTGGGGGCTCTGTAGATCTGTCTGCTGAGTTTCCCAGCATGCCTCCCAGCACACTTGGCACAGGTTGGTATCTGAGGCATGATCGGGATGGTTCAAATTGCATGAGTCCAGCTGTGTAAGTTGTGGTCACTGAGCATATGTTCAATGATAAGTCACTTAAAATAATCCAAATACAAAATAAAAATAATTCAGGCATGGTGGCTCACTCCTGTAATCCTAGCACGAAGAAGTTTTGCCTCAAGTTCGAGAGGCCAAGCTGGGCTATGAGACCCTGTCTCAAAATAACAATGAAAAACAGCAAATTTAAAACTGACATCCCAGGGAACCTCTGCCTCTCAGTCAGCTGCCCAGGACTCTCTTCGGCACAGAAGAAGCTTGTCTTACACTGAGGGGCCGCTGCTCACACTCCTCAGCAAGGGAAGTGAGGCTCCTTAATCATGCTTTAGCCGTGTAGCATGTACCTTTGGGGTCCTTTTGAATATTGTCACCTACCACCAAAGCATGAGGGGCCCTAAGCCCCCATCTTCATGCCAAACTGGCTCTTGGCAACAAGACACTGATTTGGTTACTTAGGCAAATGCACCTCCGTTTGCCTCTCCTTGACCCCAACCTGATCTCTTCTTTCTGTAGGTAAACGCACAGGCCCTTACCAGTGCCTTCTCTCCACACACCAAGCCTTGGATTGGTCTGGCCGAAGCTCTGGGCACACTGATGCGAGCTTGGGCTGGCTCTCCTAAAGGGACCATCCACGTGGTGACACAGGGTGAGCCTGGATCTGGTCAGCCACAAAGCACTGGGGGCGCTGCAAAGGGATGGGACATCCCTGCTGGGTGTGTCCACTGCTTGTCACAGAACTCTGGAGATTTGGTCCATACTCTCGAGTACAGATAACCCACTGTTGAGGGTAAACCAAAGGTAGAGGATATAAGCTCCATGGGAAAATGTGGTTTAATTTTCACAGATTATGATTATGTAGCCTTTTTTAGGATAAACATGTTTCATATGTAAGAGAGATCAGTGGCAATTTCACCTGAGAGGCAGTCGGGTCTGTGGAGAGAATCTAAACTAGGCAATAAAACTGTGGTTCTGGTTTTGACCCTTTGGCTGTGTGCAGCTCAGCTTCCTTGGTGTTGTGTCCAGCACTATGCAAGCACAGTTGGGTAGCTCCCTTCACCCTATAGGGGGTTGTGTCATAACCTATTGGGCATCTGACACCTGGGGAGAGATTCAGGGTGGGGCAAGTCACGTAGACCCCAAACATCAGGAATACCAGAGACAGGCCAAGCAGGACATACACTCTGCCCTGGGTCCCCAAACCCCTGAGGAAGCTTGGCAGGGAACAGGCACAGGCCAGCAGCTACTTTGGATCCTTTCTGCCTATGTGAGCTTGTAAGGGTCTGAGGGCTACCCTTATGGAACTGAGTGTCTTCTGAGAGATAGATAGGCAAGCCAGGGTGGCCAGTAGAGCTGGGCAGAGTGTTTGAGGGTTGTTTCTTGAGATTGCTAAAGTGTCCTAGGTTTCCAGGCTTGGACCTAGAGATGTCCCTAACTAGCCGAGTGCTCTGGAAGAGACAGAGAGCCCAGTGCAACCTGAAGATGGGGTCTCCAGGGCAACAAGAGCCTGTGGCTGAAAGCTAAGTGCCTGTGGCCTCTTGCCCTCTCATGTAGTGCTTAGTACCTTTAGGTCAACTGCTCTGTGTCCCCAGGGACATCTCTGAAGAATGCCGGGACCTGCCTGAGCCCTGCAGTTATTGTCGGCCTCCTGAGAGAAGCATCCAAGCAGGCAGATGTGAACTTGGTGAACGCTAAGCTGCTGGTGAAGGAGGCTGGTCTCAATGTATGCACCCTCTTCCTCACAGCACTGCTCTGTCATTGCATTTTGAGGGAAGCGGGGGTTGAGATGGTTTTATGTAGCTAAGGTTGGCCTCAAACTTTCTGCTGTGGAGCCAAAGATGACCTTGAATGCCTTGACCTCCTGTCTCTTCCCCCCAAATGCTGAGATTACAGGCATATGCTACCATGCCCGGCTCCATCCCACATATTCAGAGCCCATTCACAGCTTAATTCATGGGGTGTGAGTCTTGTCATCTACCCTGCCTACCCGAGAGAGCTAGCTTTAATCCCTTCATCTATGAAGGGAGAGACCACCTACCTGAGTGTTGTGGAGTGTATTTACACTCATGGAATTGCTCTATGGATAGATGCATGAGTGTCCTGAACAGGGAGGGAGGTTCATGATGCCTCCATTTCACCACTAAGGGAAAACAAAGCTTAGAGATGCTTGCACCCTGGGGGCTGACTTCCTCATCGTCAGCCACCCTCAACTTTAATTCGGTATCTTCCTCTCTGGTTCCCTTTTCCAATCAAAGTCTGTGTCTCAGCCTGTAGAAGCTGACTAACCTGTAAGAACAGAGCTCCCCTCCTTTCCTCTACTTCCCTCCTATCCTGTCTCCCAGGCCACTGACTGTAGGAAGCTAGGGCAGGAAGGACCAGGCTGGTCAGCTAGCCAGTGCTGGGTCCTCCCCGACGACCCTACTTCTCCTCCTCAACCTGGCATACCCCCTTGGTCCTCTCTCTATGTATCTCATTGACTGTCCTAAGAAGCTAATGTTCAAAGGCATAAAGCTCACCCTATTTTTCCTTGGCCCTAAATTTCGGAACCTGTGGGCCAGGCTGCATCCCCGCACATGGGTGACTAGGCTGAGGGAGAGGGTGGAGTGGTAACTGAGCCTCTGTCTTCTCTTGTAGGTCACCAGCTCCCACAGCCCTGTGGCCTCAGGGGAACAAGGCAGTGGGGAATGCCTCCTGACTGTGGCCTTGGCAGGTGCCCCCTACCGGGCTGTGGGCTTGGTCCAGGGCACCACACCGGTGCTGCAAGTGCTCAACGGAGCTGTGTTCAGGCCAGAAGTGCCTCTCCGCCGGGGTTTGCCCCTGCTCCTGTTCCGAGCTCAGCCCTCCAACCCTGTAATGCTGCCCACTATGATTGGTAAGGCGGCCTTTTGGGGATCATGCCAGCACCATGAGGCAGAGGTTGGATCTTCCTTGGGATTGGACTTGGAGGAACTGTTTCCTCTGGGTCTTTCTCTGAGTCTCAGGGCACATCAGGATCTGTACCTCAGAGAGGATCTTACAGACCAGTTTCTACAACATTTGGTGTGAAACAGCTTAGAAAAGGAAAGTAGCTCATTGGAGGTCACAGAGTAGTGTGGGCAGAGATGGGACCAGAGTGTCAGTTACCCTCTAGTCATGGCACCAAGTTTAGCACACTATCTGGATCCCAGGAGCTTAGGTCAAGGGGCCAAAAGCCTAGCCACAGGAAAGGATGTCAGAGCATCCTGCCTGTGCTGTGACCCCAGTCTCCTGGGACCACCTGTGCTGTGACCCCAGTCCCCTAGGACCACAGGTAGTGTGACCCCAGTCTCCTGGGGCCTGGGCTGCAAGCCTGAAGCCTGATTAGATCTGGCAGCAGATAGGTCCCCAGACCCTGAGGAGCCTTATTTCACTGTCCTTGCCTGCTCCCTGAGGAACACTCTCTCCCTTGCTTTTAGCCTGCCTGGCAGTTGCCAAGAGCGCTACTGTCTTAATGATAGGCAGTGCTGAAAGAGTCTGGGATAGAAGACCTTATCTGTCCTGTCATCGCAGCTCTGTGATAGAGAGGCCAGCTTCTCTCCTTGGTACAGCTTTGGTCACAGAGGCCTGGCTTCTGACTGAACTGGTCTCTGGTTCCCATGCCCCTCCCTCACGCTCCACACTAACCAGGGGTGTCTTTTCCTTCCAGGCCTCCTGGCAGAGGCAGGTGTACAGCTTCTGTCCTATCAGACCTCGATGGTGTCGGATGGGGAGACCTGGCACGTCATGGGTCTCTCCTCCCTGCTGCCCAGCCTGGAAGCGTGGAAACAGCATGTGTCTGAGGCCTTCCAGTTCTGCTTCTGACATTGAGGCTCACTGGTCACAGCCTCTAGGGCTCTTCTAAAGAAACCTGCCCACTGTGATCAATAGAGAGAGGAGGTCTACATTCCTGGGGCTGAACGTGGGCATCTAACTACAATAACCATCTAGTAAAGAGTGCCCCCTAGCTCCACCCACGTCTTTGTGCTGTCATTATCCGGAAAAACCAACAGAGGGCACCCGCAGGCATCCTCTGGGTTTGGTTTTGGCTGCCAGCCAGTACAGTGCGTGGAGGGAGGCTGGGATAGGCAGACGGCCAGAGCTTAGGTGTTCTGAAGATGGCCTCGTCCCTCCTTTCTGTGATTATTCACAGGCATTTTCACAGAAAGAGCTCAGAGGGTTCCAGAACCCTTTCGTGTTGGAATAGGAGTGCACATTAATGAGTAAAACTCAGCACGCATACACAGTGCTACGCCAGGCCCCGGCTGGTGCTTTTACTTTAGGAGAATTCAAGGTGGACTCTGCACACACACCAGAAGTCTTGTGGGCATGGCTGAGCACAGATCAGTGCTGCAGGAGTGTGTGGGACATAATCTTGAGTCCGAGGATGTTGATGTCTTGGAAAGACTTGGAAGGATTTTGTGAGGTAAAGAAAGTGTAGGATACATGGTGGGTATACACAGCAAATTCAGTGTGAATTTGACAATATTTTACTTTAAAAGATGATTTTCATGAAAAATGGAAGAATGGTACTTCATTCAAATAGCTGTGTCTACTGAGCTGCCTGCCCCATTAGTAAGGAAAGCTCCATTCTCCACCTGACAGCTGCTTGGCACCAACAGGCCAAGCTGCTGTGGCCTTGGTATAGCAAACCTTGAAGGGGATGGTCCCAGACGAGCTGAGGGTCAACCCTGGGCAGCGTGTGACCTGGAACACTGGTAATGACCCTGAGCTCTGCTAGTCCGTCTGTAAGATGGATAAGGATGTTTCTCTGTAGTGAGGGCTTAGTTGACTCAAAGTGATATCTGTGCACGTGGCAGTCATGGGCCTCTCAGAGTAGGCAGGCAGCCCCTGGCATGCCCTCACCCTGGTGGTATCCAACAGGTCCGGGTGCTGGGGGTCCTGACAACAGAGCATGTTTTTATCTATTGGGAAAACAGTTGTGATCAGATGATTGCTGCTGAGCACACTTGTTGCTGGAAAACAGGCTGAGATAGGCAGAGTTAAACATTCAGGTAAAAATCAAGTTCTGTTTTCAGGCTTCCATGTCCTTTGCCCCAAATTCCCAGACAACCCACATTGCAAACTAAGATGCTCAAGACAATTCCAGAAACCCAGATGACGAATGGGGAAATATCTTCATTATATCACATGGCTGATGTTAAAAGGCAGGATTGATTTTTATATATACACACATACACGTGTGTGTGTGTTGTGTTGGACATTAAGCCCAGGGCATTATCCATGCTAAGCAAGTACTTTTCCAATTAGCTGCACTCCCAGATCAAGATGAACTTTAACACTGAGCTGATGCTACCCAGCTGTGCTGTCTCCTGGGTTATCCTACCCTGCAGCTGCCTCGAACTTTAGAATGCAGTTTCCTTCTTGAGGAAAAATTGGTTGGGAAGCAGAAAGCTCTCTAGTTCAGGGAGGCAGAACAGATGCTGGGATGACACCGTGGAACTGGCCTGAAAATGCTGACTCCTGGACTGGAGAAGTGGCTTACCTGGTGCATTTGCTGCACAAGCATGAGGACCTGAGTTGTCATACCAGACCCCGTGTAAGAAGACGTGGGTGCTATGGCAACACTTGTAATCCCCTCCCTACAGAGATGGAGATGGGAGGTTCCCTGGCTGAATTAGTGTGAGCCCCAGGCCAGTGAGAGACCCTTTCTCAAAAAAAAAAAAAAAAAAAAAAGCAACTGGTTCCCAAGGTATGACACCAAAAGTTGACCTCCAGCCTCTACACACATGCATATGTGCACCTGTGTGTGTACACTTAGGAACAAAACTGACTTCTGGAGCTCTGAGGATTAGCTGTGTGTGTGTGTGTGTGTGCCTCCTGGTGAGGGGGGCAGAGCATTCTTCATGTCTGTCTATAATATGCTGGGCGCTTGCATTGTCTAATACTCCCTCTTGCAGCACCCTGCTGTAGGTCACCCTGGGTAACCAGGAAGGTTCTTAGCCTATCTTCAGACCTTAGGAGCAACATGGTTACATTACTACCCTCCCCTTAGGGGAGAGGGCTTTGTTCCCCATAGGTAGGCTGTCAGTTTGGATGTAGAGTATCCCAGAGCTGCCAGAGGAAGGCCTCAGGTCGTGTGTAATGAGGAAAAGAGCAGAAACCTGTATGCATGGGATGTGGCCAGTGCATTCCGAGTGCTTGTGTCCAAGGTGGGCCCTCAGCTGCTGTGCTGGGACAGCACTCATTCTCTTGGCCAGCACCTTGACACCCTGTTATTTATTTTAATCACGTTTGTGTATGCGTGGGGGATATGTGCATGCCACAGTGCACGTGTGGTTTCTTGAAGACAGGTAACCAAACTTGACTTTTGGGGTTCAGACTGTGACCCCAGTTTGGTAACTAGAGGACAACTTGCAAGCATTGGTTTTCTTTCATCATGTGGGTCTCAGGGATAGAATCCAGGTTGTCAAGATTGGCAGCAGGTGCCTTCACTGGCTGAACTATCTTACAACTCCATGCTGTTATTTTGACATCATCCTTAGCTGGATCCAAATGACTCCTGGTGGAGGTGAGGCAGGCCAGGTGGGACACAGGAGGTTGCCAAGACCCTGCAGAGAGTTCCTGCCTGGTAGAAGGTTGGGCTCCATGTCCTGGTCTCAGGAATCATAAACACTGGCTTTCTGCCCATGTGGACAAACATGACTCCAGTGATCTAAGGAAGGAGCAGTGGTCTGCCAGAGATGCTGCCTGCTGAGGAGGGGCAGGCAGCAGGAGAAGCTGCAACTGGGATGGGCTAGGATCCCAGCGGCACCTGAGGTCTGGGGCCAGCAGCAGTTGATGTTGAACTAGCTGCTCAACCCGGGGCTTACTCAGGTTTACTGGTGGTGTGATGAACAGTCACCATCTGGTTTCTGTGTGGGTCCCTGTGGCTCCCCAGCCAGCTGGCTTCCTCCAACAGAACCGTTCTCCAAAGGAGCCTTTCTAAAGGACATGGAGGACAACCCCATATTCCCCTCTCTCCCCTGTCCCTTTTCCTCCCCCTCTGCTCAAGCTCCTCATCCCCAAACCACTATTTTATGAGGACCCTGGAAAAGCACTCTCCCAAGGTGGAGAGAATCTCATCTCTGCCTCATTCATTTGTTTTGATAAGTTCTCCATGTACAACCAGGCTGGCCTTGAGTTCTGCCTGAGCCTCCCAAGGCTGCATTTCAGATGTGTGCCACCATGCTTGGCCAACCTTATGGTTTTTGTTTTATGTTTTAGTCTACGTAACACTGGCCAGACATGACAAGATTTGATTGACACAGTTCCTGCTGGCCCTGCCTCGAAGGCATCTGTAGGACAGAGAAGTAAGCTGGGGGGAAAACTGTATGCCATTGTCTTTATTTGCCTTAGATCTGCCATAGTGGTTGGCACGTGAACTGGACTGTGATTGGAAAGGATGGGATGATGAGGTGTGCCCAGCCCTCTGAATGGGTCTCACCTTCCAGAAAATACAAGCCATTTCTTCCTCTCATTTTAATTGCCACATATGCACTTAGAACAAGGTACAAAATTTAGAAATTCTCAGGAAACTTTCAAGAAATGAGCATAAAATATAACAGTACAGAAGTCTGCTAATAATAAGCCGTAATGAATGAATAATAGGTTTATCTGGATCTGGAAAGAGACGGCTCATCTGCATCCCTGGAAGTCAGCGATTCTCCTTTCCTCCATACCCCACCTCACATGGAGCCCTGATCCACAGCACCATGAACCCACGGCAGTGACTGCAGCCTCCAGCAGCGTCGTGAAGGTCACACTGAGGGGAGGTGGGCGTCAACGCAAGACCGATCTTATGGGGGCTTCTATGTCAATTCATTTACCAGCAATGGGTGGAATTTAAACATCTATCTGGGCAGAGGGTCTGTTCAGATACTCTCCTCAAGAAGTGTACATGGATCTGTAGACAGGGAAGAAACATTCAATCATGGCTCATCCCAGGCACTGCAGCCCCGAGGTCTTGCTCCTTGACAGAGGCAAAGCCGTGCAAAGAGACCCCCCTGTACTATGAGGTCCTGGTGCTCCCATTGCCTGCTCAGCTCTGAGCCACCATGTCTGAGGGACCTTGCAGGAGCCAAGGTATGGTTAGGGTAATGTTCTACTCCACACACTATCTGTGCCTCTCCTTTATCAACAGACTTACAACACTTGATTTTCTTTAAAGAAATGCCGTAAGGCATTCTTCCACATCTCCTCTCCCCCAGCCCTCCTCCAGAGCCCCACTAATTTCCCAAGCTTCACTGCTTCTCCCCAGGAGGAATCATATGAAAACTGTCACCTCCCCAGCCTAAAGCTCCCTCCAGCTGAGGTTTCTGGCTCTAACAGAACTCACAACCACCCTGCCCCGAGGAGTCACTCCCCAGCACCCAGATGAACATCTCTTGCACAGCTATTTAGTCTTGTCACCAATCTCCTTGCTTTGGAGCAATGATCTGCAGGCTCCACTGCCCTGCCTGCTCCTCAGGACTCTGGTAAGCCTCTAGGGGTACTTCCCGTCTTGGGTACGTAAATAAGTCTGTTTCACATCCAAGATTTCAAAAGACATCCATTTCCCAGAGACTCCCTCAAGTTTTCACTGGAAATCCTGATACAAACAACCCCCTCATCTTTTTGTAAGCTACAGGCTTCTCTGACCTGGCTACATTATCAGAACTTCATCTGTTACCTACAAGAAGATGCTAGGCCTTTAAGTCACCAACCCTACAAACTAACTCACCACCTTTAGATGGGACGGCGGGCATACTTCCGGCGGTACATCTCATCCACCCGTTCAAGATACCAAGTGCCTGGGAAGAGACTGCTGGTGTCACCAGGTGGTGAGAAGTTCACTATGGGACAAGGAAAAGAAACAGTGCTTACAAAGAGTGGCATGGGTGTACAGAAGAGAACATAGTAATGAGAAGGACTACAGATTTGCATGAGACACTTCTAGCTGTGCTGCCTGGGCCTGCAAAGCCACTATTAATATACTATGTAGAAGTGGGAATCACAGGAGAATCAGAGAAGCCACCATCTTGGATCCGGTACTTGAGAGTTGCCTGGCTATCAAAGCTTTTACTTTAAGAGGGACTGGGGAAATAGCTCAGTGATAAAATTTTTGCCTCACAAGTATGAGGCCCTGTGTTTGATCCTCAGAACCCATTTAAAAATGCATGGTGGCAAGTGTTTATAAAACCAGCACTGGGGAGGCATTTCCTCAGGCTCACTGGCCAACCAGTCTAGCCTAATTGGTGAATTCCAGGTGGATGAGAGACCCTGCCTGAAAGGAGATGAACAGTGTTCCTAAGGATGACATCTGAGGTTGTCCTCTACTCTCCACATGCATACATACACGTGCACATGCATGTGCACACACACATAGAAAACTTTTCTTACACGAGTAGAGAATTTTCCTAAAATAAACATGCCTTTGACCCACTGCAGTCATCACATCCTTCTGTCAGTGGTACCTGTGTTGAGCTGTACCTCAGACTTTCCTGTTTCCCAATAGCATTTCTTGCCTCATCTTCAGACCTCTGGATCTGATCCACAGCAGCAGGTGATTTTTATTGTATCTTATTTTAGGTAACCCACTCAGGCTGACCTGAAACTCACTATGTAGCCCAGGCTAGCCTTGAACTAGCAGTGATCCTTCCTCAGCCTCCTGAGTGCCAAGACTGTAGGTGTGAGCCACCCTGCCCGGATCATTGCAGCCCTTTGTGCTTTGTCCTTTAATGTCCATTTCAAAGATCCCTTTTATTTCCCTTTGCTTTTCTTTATTCTACCATGTCCTTGTTCCAAATCAGACTGATGACCACAAGATCTAATTCACTTCACTTCTTTGGAAGGAAATCCTGCAAAGTTGGTACAATTTTAGAAATGAGACAACTAGGGAAAGTCTGATAATTTTCCAAAAACAAAGAGGTAGGAGATGGCACAGCTCAGCTTAGATTTGGATTCCTACTCTGAAGTTGGCAGTTTCAGAATTTGTACAGAGAGCCTGTCCACGGACTCAACTTCTGGCTTCCATGGTACCACACTGTCCCTGCCAATGCTCCAGGCAGTGTGCTGGGAGGCTGCATGCCGCCCTTATCTCCACCTGTTCTGCCTATGTGTGCATACACAGTTCTCTTCTCACGATCATATCCCATAAAAAATCTTTTTAATTTTTATTTATTTTTATTTTACGTGCTTGAGTGTATTGTCTGCAGGCGAGTTAAGTACACCTGTGTCATGCGGTGCCCATGGAGGTCAGAAGAGGGCATCGATCCTCTGGAACTGGAGTTACAGATGGTTGTTGGCCACCATATGGGTGCTGAGAACTGAACCCAGGTCCTCTGCAAGAGCAGCCAGTGCTTTTGAGTGCTCTCTAGCCCCTTCCATGAAAATCTTGACCCTGGCCCACTATAGGGGTAGAGTTCTGGTAACCCCCTGGCTCCCAGCCACTGACATGGAATCTAAGACGGCTTGCTTCCTTCTCTCTTCCTGCCCTTTTCCTTACCCTTGTGGAAGAATTGCTCTCTTTGGTTCATTATTTCTGTGAATTCCTCAGGAGACATGCGCCTCCGCGAGTCTAGACGTTTGGGCAGATCTGACACACTAGACACTAGATTCTCCAGAGGGGAGCCTGGGAAGCAAACACAAGATTGTTAAATCCTCATTACTGACATTTTTACTGGAGATTAAGAGACTGCCAGGGTCTGTGGGAGCTGCGCCTTGGGGCTTAGAAGATCAAGAAATTAGAAGCAAGCATAATGTTAGCAAAACACATAGGCAGACTCATTCATTTCATCAAGGGTTACCCCATAGTTCTTACATGTGTGTTCTTGATCACAGCAGTCATAAAACAATCAACAAATACTTAATGGATAGCTCGGATCCATCAGCTTCTCCTCAACCAGTTGCAACCAAACCACCACTACCTCTTGCCCAGTCTGTGGGAACAATCTAACCGTTTCCTCATAGCTACCTTCACGTCTCCTCCGTCTAGTCTTTGAGCTACAGTTGAGGAAGTGCTTTAAATACATAACTTATACAGGGACTGTCTTTGCTCTTAATCACAACATAGTTCCGCCAAGACAATAGCCTTGGTGGAGAGGACGAGGTGGCTTCTTTCACCACATGGTTCTTGTCAGGAGTACCAGATTCAAGATGAGACTCACCTGGAGAAGCGTCCTGGGACACTCGAAATGAAAAGAAACTTGCTGCTAAGCCAGAGCCATAGGAGAAGGCACCAATCCTGGAACCAGCCAATTCTTGGGCAGAGTGGCTATAAGGGAAAAAATTTCACATGAGTATTATAATCCACATTTCAGATAAGGCGCCTACCTGGCGATCTGATGTCACCCCTGTCCACCTCATACAACTGGAAATGTGCTCCAAGTACCCAGAACAAATAGGGATCTTTGGGAGAATCCAGGGACAGGACCAGAAGACATCCTTGCCAAAAGGAGAATGGCCACAGCCCAGAACATGAAAGTGGAACAAGGGACCCTGATGTCAGTGACATGTGGCTAAAGTGGAGGTCAGACTAGTGGGCTCACCCTCAGGCCTCCCAAGTTGACTACAATGATTTAACTGAGAGAGAGAGAGAGAGAGAGAGAGAGAGAGAGAGAGAGAGAGAGAGAGAGAGAGAGACTATGCAGCCCTGGCTGGCCTTTTACTCATGGCAGTCTTTCGACCCCAGCCTTCCCAGTGTTGGGATTGCAGGCCATGTCAGCACACATTCCTATGACTCAGCTTTTTTCATCATCCTTCATCAGTAATTTAATCAAGTTCATTTACAAGTATTTTTCTGTTATATCTTCTTATAAATTCCACAAGATAGGAAAATCAATACAAGTACCAGCTAGCATTTGAGTATCTACTAAGCACTATGGTTTTGTTGATAGACAATTCTCATTGAAACTTTGGAAAGCAGGTATTATCTTAGATATTTTACAGATAAGGGAAGTGATGGGAATACAGGTCTTTATTTTCCAAGATCAAAGCAGTAAGTGTTAAATCGATTTGAGTTGAGTTGTGGGCTCTAAAGCTAGCCTTATGCTGAATTAAGTATAGAGATTTCAAATAGATGAGATTAAAAGCAGGCTCACAAGTTCTATTTTCTTGTTGCCTGAGCAGATTTTGCATCTCCTGCATGTTCTTAGACCACTGTTTAACACAGTTAGCGAACTGTCCCTATACACCTTTGAGAAAAGTTTTCATATTCCTTTTACCCATCCTCTGGTTCTTCCTAGACTGCAGCTAAGGGAACAGGGCCTGGGCCAGAAGCAGTACTCACTGGGAGAGAAGCGAGGCCAGGCACCCGTACAACGATGAGGTGTACATGTTGCCATTGTTTGTGGAGAGGTAAAGCGAGGCCTTGGTTTTCTTGTTAAATGTGTCCAAGGAGGCCTTTAGAAGAGCTTTATCCACATCCTTGTTGGTGTAGGTGTCTTCCAGCTTTAGACCCCTGCGAGGCAGCCCAAGGAAACCAGGTGAGAGGTGATGCCAGGAGGGAGAAACAGCTCCCAGAGAGAAAGCTTTAGGGCACACCTTTTTATTACAATACTTGGAAAAGTGAGAACTTCAAAAAAAAACTTTATCATTAAGAGTCCTGTCATTCCATGATGTTATTACATCATATTTTTGTTGTGGAATCTATCCATACTTTCTATTAGAAAATTAAAATATGCACATGCCTTTAACCTCAGCACTCAGGAGACAGAGGCAGGTGGATTTTGTGAGATCAAGGCCAGCTGGTCTACATAGTGAGTTCCAGGCCAGCTGTGCCTATAGGAAGATCTTGTCTCAAAAAATATAAGTAAAGCTCACCTCCCTCTGCTTCCCTGGGTCTGCTCAACCCTCCAGCCCCTTTCCTGGACGCCAGGGCTGACCTTTCATCTTCCTGGTCCTTCACATCCAGAACAACCCAGCTCCTTAGTGCAGTCCCCAGGGGCCCTTGGGGCCATCTCCTGCCCCCAGCTTCCTTTGCATTTCTGGGTGGCACAGCCACCAGCTGCCCTAGACCAGCATCTTTCCTGGGCCGGGCTCCCAGGCCAGTCCAACCCTCAAATTTCTGATGCCAAAATCTATCCTGGAGGGATCCAGACCTTAGGAGAAAGCCTGAGCACATCTGATCCTCATCTGACTTGGGCTTCTGTGGGAACTCCTGAAGACAAAAGCAATCTGGCCATTCCAATATAAAATCAAAAGAGAGAACTGGAATCTTAGAGGAACCAGCCTTTCTTGCCCAAAAAGTAAACCACAAAAATACATAAAGTTCACAAAAAAAGCAGACCTAAACTTGAAAGCTTGAGTCTGACACAAGAATCAGAAACTACAAAGAAATTCACATGTCAAAATCACAGAGAAAAAATAATAACATGAAAAACCAAAATAACATATCCCCACCAAAATCAATAGTCCTCTAGAGGCCATACAATGAGAACCCCCTAGAGATGATGCAGGACATGGAATTCACAAAAGAACAATTATAAACATGATCAAAGAATTCAGTGAATTTAAAGAACACACAAAGAAATCAAAGA